ATGAAAAAAAAAAAAAATGAAATTAAAAATTGCACTGCTCTTTTCAGTACCGATTTGAGCATACAATGGAAACTTCACCTAGACACTCTTGTTGTTGGGAACTTTTTGTATTTATCCAAACTTTAATCTGAAGGCAACTTCCCCAAGACACTCTTGTTGTTCCTCTAACATCTTCTTTGCAGAAAGCACCAGAGAGTTATTGCAACGCACCACCCTCATCTCCCTAAGCGTGGTTATACCCCCGATTTCCAATGGAACCTCCTTCAGCTCGTCTAGATTCTGTAGGTCGAGCCGCTCGAGAAGCGGGAAGTGTGCGGCCTCTACCCTCCACTGTTCAAGATCGTAGCAATAACTGATATCCAAGTATTTCAGGCTCGGGAATCCGCCCTCGGCTGTTTCCCACTCTGGCCCAATGCACGAATAGGCACTTAGCTTGAGGGCCTCGAGATATGGCAACGAGCCTATCTTTGTCCCGACCTCCTCCCACCCCAGCCTTGTGCCTACCAAATGCAGCTTCCTGAGCGAAATCGGGAACAATGTCACCTCAATTGGTCGAGAGAGTAATGACATGCATGAAAAGGACTCCAGCTTGCGCAGCCGACAGAGATTGTCGAGACCATAATCAGCCTGTGATAATTCCTCCTCCTTGAGGTATGTTATTTTGAGCTTCTTGATATTGGGGATTCTCTCAACCACATCCTCAACCAACCTCAAGTTAAGTATGGTCTGAAGAGTCTCTAGATTCTCCAACGCCATCCTACCATTTTCTTCTTCCGTTGGAGGAGGAGGAGGAGGATCCGTGAGATAGAAATCGCGTACCTTGACGTACCTGAGTTGGGGCATCCGCCAGATGTCCAGAACCGGCCTGTTTCTGGTAAACCACCACACAAAAACTTTCAACGTCCGTAGATTCCAAAGTCGATAAAATTCAGGAGGAAATTCAAGCACCGGCAGTTCAGCTTGGGTATCCACGTGGCGCAAGTTAACCAGATGAAAGTTGTTTCCTACAAATGGTTGATATTTCATGTAGCCTTTTTCATTAAGAACCCTAAGCAGTCTAAAAGGAACTACAGATGCTAAACGTCCATTAACTACCCATATCAGAGTTCGTGCGCGTGATGCTGATTGCACAACTTCGGGGAGTGGACAGGGAATGTGTTCCCCGGCTTCGTGAATGCCTATACGGCGTTGGGCATACCAGCTAATATGGTCTCTAATTTGGTCTCTAACTTGGTCGCTAATTTGGTCGTGCTCAGGGTTGTGCATTGTTGTTTTCATCGTGCGAAAGAATTTGTGTTTCTGAGCTTCTTTTATGCATAGGTCTCTCAGGAGATCGTGGATGCCGCACCATTTTATTCTTCGAGTGCAGCCCCACCCACGAACCATGATTAGGTTTCTGATCAAGAGATCATGTAGGTAGACTACTCTCGCAATTGTTTCCAAGCTTTTACCAGCCACCGGTTTCACAAATCCTTCATCAACCCATAGCCTCATGAGCGTGGAGACGCGAATCTCATGGCCCTCTGGGAACATGCCCATGTAGAGAAAGCACGGTTTCAGGTGCACCGGCAACTGATTGTAGCTCAATTGCAATATTTTAAAGCAACGCTTATCTTCCTCTAAATTCACAATCGAGCTTAAATTTTCTAAAACGTGTTGCCAGTTTTCCCGTGTTTGTTCAGACTTTGCTAGGAGTCCCCCGATCACGACAATTGACAATGGAAGGCCTCTGCAGTCCTTTGCAATGTCCTTCCCAATCTCTTCCAAGTCCGGAGGGCACCCTTGTTCCCCAAACACGCACCCACGAAGCAGAGTCCAACTTTCGTAATGATTCAGTAAACTCATCTGAAAGTAATTTGGGCCATCCAGTTGCAGAGCCACTTTCAATAGCCTAGTGGTCATCAATACTCTGCTCCCATTGTTGTTATCTGGAAAGAAGTGTTTAACCCTATCCCATGCGTCTATATCCCAAATGTCATCCATTACAATCAGATACCGTCGGCCGAATAAGCTTTTATACAGTGTATCTCCTAATTCATGTTCACTCATTTGGTTGAACATGTCCCCACTCCAACAACAAAGGATTTCTAACAAAATCCCTCTGGAATTAATATCTTGAGATACTGTAGCCCATCCGCACATATCAAAGTATTCCACAATAAGTGGTTGTTCGTAAAT